CATGCAATGATATGAACCCAGAGAAAACACTTAGAGAGTGATTCTGACATAATTCCTTTATAATTATAAATTATATAAAGATAAATCACCTAGATTATATGAAGAGAAAAGAATTTAACACTGTAAATTTTGCCCTACTAAAGAAGAAATTATTTAGGTGCAGTATCATTATTTGTTACTCATTGTAACAGTACTTTCAGAGAAAACTAATGATAGAAATAACTACTAGTATTTGTAAGTACTTGACAGTTTATAGAGTATTTTTCATATGTATTATGAGCTCTGGTGATGCAGTGCCTAAGGCATTTGACCGCTAACCAGAAGGTTGATGGTTCAAACCCACCAGGTGCTCCGCAGAAGGAAGATGAGGCAATCTACTTCCATAAAGATTTACCACCTCAGAAACCTAATTGGGGTTACTCGTGAGTCAGACTCAACTCAATGGCAGTGAGTTTGGTTTGGTTTTTATATTATGTTAGATAATCCTCATAAGATCTGAGAGGTAGGACTGCTCTCCAGCTTTTACCAATAAGGAAACCATGGCTCAGAGTGTTTCACTTTCTTTTTATTACATACAGCAGGTATTCTGGTTAGGTTGGAAACTGCTTTTCTTACCCCAGATCCCATTCCCTTTCCTCAACCCTCTGCTGTGACCTCGGGAACTCATGTGGTAAAGGAACACCTTGTCCTGACACACAGAGCCAAGAATCTGCTCTTACCAGTTGTTGCAATGCAATCAAATCCCACAAAGGCATAAAAGCAGGTTGCAGCACCAGCCAAAGTTCCCGCAAAGCCATAAGGCATAAAGCCACCAGCCCCATAGATACTTGTTCCATTTTCAGAAGGTGGCTCACTAAGAAGGAAACAAACACATCAGAAAGTTATTTTCACAGATAACTGCTTCTCCCAGCAATATATTTCAAAGTACTTCCTTGGAAGGTTGTTGTATTCATTAGCTCTTCGAAGCAAACATGTACAAGACCCAAACTTCTGTAATTTTAAGCCATCTTCTTGGTGATAAATTACATGGCAGCCCTAGAAAATCAGAACATTACCTATATATTTATATTTGGGAGGGAGCCTGGATAGAATAGTCTTTGAAAAGTCTTAAAGCAAAAATTGTAAGGACAATTGCTCTAGAGGAAAACTTTCACATTATGTGCCCTTAGAATTTAACATAAAACAATTTTAAAAAAAATCAAAAAAGGAGGTAACTTTTACCTGGCACTTGCTGATATATTTTTGAGAAACTCTTCACTGATCTTCCAGTTTGCCACATTTCCTTTCACAAACCCAGCAACCATAACAAAAAGAAGGACCAGGATATTAACAGCTGTGAAGATTTTATTCACCCAAGCAGACTCTTTTACTCCAAAAGATAAAAGACCTATGGAAAAAGAAAGGGAATTCTGATTTTTACCTAAGCTTTAGAAACCAAACCCAAACCTGTTGCCATCGAGTTGATTCTGACTCATGATGCCCTATAGAACAGAGTAGAACTGCCCCACAGGGTTTTCAAGGCTGCAGTAATCTTTACAGAAGCAGACAGCCACATCTTTCCCCCAAAGAGTGGCTGGTGGCTTCAAACTTGCCAACTCCTTAGTTCACAGTTAAGTGAACTAAGTGCTTAACCACTGCACGACCAGGGCTCCTCAGCTTTAGGAAAGGCAATAGCATTTTGAAGCTATTATAGGCTTCGGGATATTATTTCACCAGCATTCATATATTTAATTTCCATTATCCATTTCTATTGTGGGTTCTTACTTAATAGTTATCTCATTGTGAAACAAAGTCTTCTGACTACACCATTTTGATTTCAGGAGATAGACCATGCTCAAAGTCCAGAGACCCTACACCCTTTAATATATAAATCTAGTAGCTTTGGCTATTGTTACCAAAAGGTAAGTAGAGGCAAAGTAATACCTAATGAAATGCAGTTGTAAAAAGCCATTTCAAAGTGAATGGTTGAGAAATTTTTTTAAAGTAAAAAATCCTTGTCTGCCCTGTATTTATTGAACATAAATAGAAAATAATTCTTCAAGTGTCCTGTCAATAAGCACTTTGTCAAACCTATTCTCATTCTAATAATTTTGCTTCACATCCTAGGTCTGTTGGTGGTGCAACTGGTTTGAGATTGGCTGCCATCTAAATGTTGGTTGTTAGGAAACCACCCCCCACCCCAGCAGTGCCCTGGAAGCAAAGGCCTGCAGATCTGCTTCTGTGAAGCCTGCAGCCCAGAAAACCCTATGCAGCAGTTCCACTCTGTAATACATGAGTTGCCATGAATCGGAATTGGTTTGTTTTTCTGGATTTTATTTTACATTTTGATTGTAAAAGTAATCAATTTCCTGTCTAATAATTTGAAGGGGCAACAAAATTATGAAGAAATGAAAGATCAACTCCAGAATTTTGCATATGCAAACACACACACACACACACACACACACACACGTACCTATTTCCATGTCAAAAAAGAACCTTTATTTAACAGCCATATAATCTTCTACTATATGGAGGTACTGTACTTTAATCAAGAGAGCCATGGTGGTGTAACGGTTAAATTCCCGCCTGCTAACTGAAAGGTCAGCAGTTGGAACCCGCCAGCTGCTCTGTGGAGAAAGATGTGGCAGTCTACTTCTGTAAAGACTTACAGCCTTGGAAACCCCACGGAGGCAGTTCTGCCCTGTCCCATAAGGTTGCTATGAGTCAGAATTGACTCAATGGCAATGTTTTTGTTTTGTTTTGTTTAAATACTTTAATCCTTTAATTATAGACAAGTAGGTCACTCTTAATTTTTTACAATTGTAAACAGTAGTGATATAATCATCATTTTATAAAAATCTTTGTATATTTTCTAATTATTTCTTTACAGTAATTTTCTATAAGGTAATACTGTGTCAAAGATATGTATTTTTATAAAAGGCTTTTGGTTTACATTGTCAAAATATTCTCCAGAAAGTTTGGTCCAATTTAAATTGCCCGATTTTTTTTTTTTTTTAATTAGTTCATTCTTCTTGCCCGTATTCATTTTTAAGAGTTATTTACATATTAATGCTATAAACTCTCTGCCTAAATATTTTTCTAGTTTATAATTTACTTTTAACCTTGTTGGTTTTCTATATATAAGAAAGTTTTAGAACCATATTAAAATTTTTCCTTTTGGTTTCCACCTTTAGAAAGATTTTTTTTTTTTTTTTAAAAAAGAATAGAAAGATTTTTTTCCCTAACATTAACTGAAAAACAGTCATCTTTGTTGCCTTCTAGAACTTTTGTGATTTTATTTTCATATGCTTATATTTAATCCATCTGAAGAGCTCTGGTGGCACAGTGTCTAAGGCATTTGACTGCTCACCAGAAGATTGGTGGTTCAAACCCATCAGCTGCTCTGTGAAAGGAAGATGGGGCAATCTACTTCCATAAAGATTTGCTACCTTGTAAACCCATGGGGGTTGCTATGACTTGGAATTGACCCAATGGTAGTGGGTGGGTTTTTGATTTGGGTTTAATCCATCTGCTATAAAATGTAAATTATGGACCTAAGAAAGTTAATTTTTAACAACTAGGATATGATTGCTATGAAAGGATTATTCTACATATTTACTTGCTTATTTCCCATATCTAGGCCAAAAACTCCATTGCCATCAAGTCGGTTTCAACTCATAAGTGATCCTACAGGACAGAGGAGAATTGCCCCTTAGGGTTTCCAAGACTGTAAATCTTTACAGAAGCAGACTGCCACATCTTTCTCAGGCTGAACAGCTGGTGAGTTTTAACCCCTAACCTTTCAGTTAACAGCTGAGCACTTAACTGCTGTACCACCAGGGATCCACTCACATCAAACAAGTGAAAATTTCCAAGTAGAGATGAGAGAAGCTGAATTTCATTCTTCTACCTGTATAATTCCATATTATATAATAGATAAAGGTATAAATGAAAACTGTATTGTCATCCCAATTACTGACTCTGTAATTGTCTATTAGGTTATGGACCATTGCTACACATCTTGGAGAACAAGGCCACCTCCATATTGTACAAGTTTCCCAATACTCCACATGCACCCTCTACTCTGAAATCCTTATTGCCTACCAGTAGATTAAACCAAACCAAACCAAACCAAACTCACTGGTGTCGAGTCAGATCCAACTTATAGCGACCCCTCTTTGGGTTTCCGAGGCAGTATCACTATGGAAGTAGATTGCCCAGTCTCCCTTCCCAGGAAGGAAGGGTTTGAACCACCAGCCCTAGGCACTACGCTACAAGAGCTCCACCAGTAGATTGTTGTTGTTGTTATGTGCCGTCGAGTCGGACATAGCGACCCCTCCTTGGGTTTCCGAGGCAGTATCACTAC